AACCAAAGCCAGAGAAGTCACCGAAGAAAAAAATGAAGAACCAACGACATCCGGCTCTGAAGTCTCGGGCTTTATTCTTTTGTTTAAAATCATCTGATCTGCCCTAAATTGAGTGATAAAAATAGCAAGCTTAGAGTTCTTGCCAACCACATTCTACTTGGGAGAAGAAACATTCTCAACTTCTTTAGCATTCTTTTTCGAGCAAGCATTTAGTTCCCTCGATGTATCACAAAAAGAAGAAATCAAATCAGTTGATGAGACCGAATTAGTCGATGAAGACACATTCAGAGTGATTGTCGGAGGAGAAAACTCTCAATATCAGCTTGAAAAAGTATCCTAGAGATTGAAAAATCATTATTAATGTCCACCCTATCAAAACTTGACAACTCTGGTGCAAATTCTATGTGATGACATAATGACATTGGCTCAGAAAACCCCTTCAACGGATCAACGGCCCTAAATAATCCAACCAAGAAATCCCTGAAACACGATCCATATCTTCCTTGCGGAATAAAAATAGAGCCAATTCCTTTGTCATTGATCCGAATAAACCCGCCATAAGAATTTGAATCAAAGAGAATTTTAAAGTTGCCCAACTCAAGTCTAGAATTCACCCAACAATCTAAAGAAATTTTAAGAATGGAATCCCTCAACCATAATAAATTATCCCGATCAAACACAATTGAAGAAATAAAATCAGATTTGACTTCAGAAATACGAACAAATTTGTCAAAGCAACTAAAAAGATTTTTTTTGCTTTCAATAACAATTCCAAACTCAGAAGAATCAAACGCAGGGTTCTGAACCTTGTTCCGGTCGCTAGCAAAGTCCCTGTAATCATCCGTTCTAAGCCATAGTGAGAATTGTTAAACCCCTATAGCAGACCCTTACGGTGACTAAGTTCAGCATCCTTGGAGCTTGAAATCTGCCAAGCTTAATCCCTAGAGCTTGAAATCTTCCCAGCAAAATCCCTGGAGCTTGAAATCTGCCCATAATTCAATACGGAGTCCCTCACGTTAGGTACAACTGGCATCCCATCCTCAGAATTACTCTAATTTTTACCCTTCGATTCCCAATCTACGCCGAGGCATGTGAGGCCTCAATCCCCATCTGAAAAATTGATCATTAGAATCTCGACGAATAGCCTTACAATTGCTGATTTTTTATTCGTGATGAACAACCCATCGATCGCCGCGATGAACAGCCCATCGATCGCCACGCTGAACAGCCCATCGATCTCGAAAGCTATCACTACGAGCAGCGATCAAATTGATCGCTTGAGTCGGCACTCACATCCATCTCTGATTATTGCTCTCGGGTTGTAAGGAATGAAATACATCAACATCTTACTAACACACCTTGCACACTTTACTTCTTTCCCCGTTGTTTTTGAGTTTGTTAGTGTTCATTTATATAACATCACAACCTTCCTTGCAATTCTTTGAGAACTTGTACGGGAACATCATAATTAATACACATGTCTTTAAATATGACGACCTTCAAATGACCACACTCATCCCCACCATTAAGTTATCTCTATATCTTTTTCTAGTATCTATGTGGCAATTGCAATTGAAAACGGCGTTGTCAATTGGATGGAAGTAGAGGTAGTTAGTATGCTATTGATTGAATATGTCATATGTATGGATACATACAAGCCAACATGAGTTTTAAAGATATAAAAAGGAAAAATTGTCAAATCGGCCTTCCAAGTATATCAGAAAAGTCATTTAAGCCTCTGAACTAAAAGAACACTTAATTAAGCCCACCAACTATACAAAAATGGTCAAAATTTTTAATTTAGAAGGTTTATTTCCTGTCAGCCGATCACTAAGTTACGTGGCAATACAAGTGGCACATTTTTATGTTTTTCATTTCTTTTTTCCTTCTTTTTTCTCAGTCCACCCACCTTTCCCTACCCTTCTGACTTCTTCTTCAACCCAACCCGCCCCACCCCTACCTTCTTCTTCTCAAGCTCTCCATGTTGATCGAATTGAAGCTCCTTTTCTACCTCGCCGCTTCTGACATCTACATAATCAACTACCTCATGTCCATGTCCACCCAAATCATCTTCGGCTACCTCAAGAACCCCTTAGCAACACTGGCACTTAAATCTTCACTTATGGTCTTATGGTATGGCCGCCCATACAGGGCACATCATTGTCGGTCAAACTAAACTCGGTTCACTTTTTCTTTTGTATCTATCAATACCCCAACAAAGCTTAAAAGAGTTTCATATTTCAATTTAAAAACATCTTTTGATTTAATTTAAACTAGATTTAGTCAATTATACCGTGGGTTCATTTTTCCTTCCAAATAAAATTCTGAAACTGGAGCTTTCCATCTGACATTAAATTAAATTAGTGATAATTATTTATTTAATGAACTGGTTGCTAGTTGGGTATGCGGAGAGCAGTTGAAACGAGTCGGTGAATTATCCGATTTGCAAAAGCTACATCGTCATCTCCGATTCTCCAATAGTTGAATGATCAGATTTGAATTTATTTTTTTGAGCATTTAGTTGGTAAAACGAAAAAAGACAAATAAAAAACGAGGGTGGGAGAAGAAAGAAGGGGGAGGACGGTGAAGAACAAAGAAGGCGAAGAATAGAAAAGAAAAAAGAAAAACGGTAAAATAGTAAGCCTGGACTGACAACTTAAGGACTCTTACCGGCTAACAAGAACTTGACCCGTTAAATTTGAATTTTGACCGTTTTTGTATAGTTTGTGACCTTAATCGGATGTTCTTTTAGTTCAAGGACTTAATTGACTTTTTTGATATACTTCGAGGGCCAATTTGACAATTTTGCGTGTAAAAAGTAATTCACTATTTTGAAATGAACATATGTAGTTAAATCAAATATGTAAATTTTGCACATATACCACTATATTAATATTTAGTCATTTGTAAGACCAAACACAATAAATAAAAGTACCCAAATGAAAAATAAAAAATGTAAATTAATGATATCTTCATTAGAGAGATGATCAATGTGTAGCATGTGATTGTAGGTGGTAGGTAATAAAAAAAGAAAGAGTCTTTTTTCCATATGTCAATGGGGAGATGAAGGTTTAATATTTAACTTGGGGGCTGCATGTTTTGAAGAAGAATACAATACAAATACATATATATTCATTAAATTGATTAACCCATAACAACCTCAACATCAACATATTTATAACCGGTGGTGACATGCTCAGTGAGTACTGATAGAGTATACGTTTAGTAATACCGCAATAATGATAAAGAACAATGATGGTTGAGCTTCTCCAAGCGAACATAAGTAGTAATTGTGCAGTAAAGAAGAGTGGCGTTGACGGAGTATCCATGAGTGAACGTGAAAGGATGTAGAATACAAACAAAAGAAATGCGGGAACACGAAATAATATTTCTTGACTCAATTACAACACAGGGAAAGAAATTTATTAAATTGACAAATTGTTTGTGTAGGATAAGCGAAATCTCAAAGCATATTTAGTCTAAATAACCTAAAATTGTGTTTACATAGAAATAATATTGCAGGAAAATATATAAACTATAAATAATATAACATCTGCAATGTAAAACATTACCATATTAGGGGAAGTTGTAGCTTCGTGTCACGTTTTGGTTTACACAAATGGATCGCTTTCTTCCTCCAAGGACACTCGTCATTGCACAAAATAAGACCGTTACCATAAGTTCTCTTTGATGTGATCTCAATTCGTTGAACAATGGTAAAACATGGAAGTATATAAATTACGTGGAGGGAGTGGTTGTATCTCATCCATAAAGCTAGTCGCCATATCAAAGTGTCCAAGCCTAATGAATAACAAAAATTGTTTTCATAAAATATATTTCTTGTGAGATTTCAAGTCACCCAACAAGTGTCAAATGTTGTCATATATACTAGTTCAAGAATTTTCAACGTGTAATATTGTGTACTAGGTAAGTATATCACTTTTCAACTTTCTTAACTATGACTTGCAAACATTATATAGAACTCATTACTAAAAAAGTTACCCTTCAACTTATTTTGTTTACGAACTCATATTTTACGAGTATAATGTACGATTTACAACTCGAGATGCACACAATAACCATTTTATCCTATTTCTAATCAAATGTACTTGTAACTTGTAAGTAGTGATAATATAACAGTGTTAGTGACGGTTGATAGTGAATATATATAGGTGACCATGGTAATCATGATAATGATGGTCTTAACTCTTAAGCATTTTTTTTATTTGTTTTATTTTTTTATATCTAGAAAACAAAAAACATTTTTACAAGTATGTCTTAACAAGTGAACTGATGAAAATATGAGATGGTATATGGAAAATGTTCAAATTGACACTTTTAATATTTTAAATTCATCACAATTTGAGCACTAATTTTCTAAAAATATCAGAGAAACAAGCTTATTTTGAAAAACATGCCATCCCATTATTTTAAAAGTTTTTGAATTGATCAGATGAGTTTGTTAAAACAAATCAAGAAATGATTGTGTTTTAAGGAATTATTAGTATAATCAACACTTTAAAATATTATCTTTACATTTGAAGTTAGGTTGTGTTTTTAATTATTGTAATTTTTTATTTTAAACTTTTAAAATTATTTATGTACTTTGACATTTGCTGAATTTTATGTTTTTAAAATTTGTATGATTTTAATGCAATTTATCATCCGCGCGCCTTAGTTTTTTTTTTAATAAAATGTTATACGGTGTAGTAGGTTAAAACTTAAAAGCTAGAAAAATGATTGGATTTTTTCAAGATAAGTATATCTATATGATACCTTTTCTTATATAAAAATCATTGAGTGATTAATTTGTAATAGTATAAAAGTTTATGCACAAAATATTTATAAAAACATTAATAGTACTTGTACTAGTATTATTAGTTAAGCGGTGGCATTAATTAATTATTTAATTAAGGATACCAACCTGTTAACCTGTTAACCATAAGTGGTTCTAATCTCTGTTTGTCCAGTGCATCTTATCATCACTGAATAAATGTGCCAAATCAGTGAGGCAGCCTTACTTTGCCTCTAAAGATCATCAAAACCTCAAAAAACCCTAATCAGGCTCCTCAAATTTACTGAGATTTTATACATTAGTTTAATCTGCAATACTAAAAACACACGGACTACTATGTTTGATACCGACATGCATACATAAGCACCTGTGTTACAGACATGGGTTCCGTGGAAGAGTAGAAATCAAAATGTCCAATTCTGGAGGCTTTGCCATTTCTCGGAGTCACGGCTCAGACAGATTCTACAGCCCGCCGGCGGTACGCCGTCAGCACCAGCAGATTCTGTTGCAGCAGCAAGAGCAGCTCATGAAACTCCAGCAGCAGCAGCAGCTGTTGCAGAGACCCGTGAAAGCCGAGGCAGCTGCTTCTGCGCCGGCTGAGGATGGGAATCCGGCTGAATTTGGCGATTCGGTGACGGCATTGGCTAAAAAGTTATCAGCTTGCTCTTCATCTCTGCCAGAGCGGTCAACTAAAGTCACCAACTTGGATCGCTTGCTGGAGTCGGTTACTCCCTTGTTGTCAGCTCGACACTTATCTGAGGTATAAAGAAACTAGGGTTCGGCACTAGGAGAAAAAATCGAGTAACCATGTTATAATTTGATAATGAGGCCCTGAAAAGGACTATTTTTCTATTTATTAATAATGTCTTTGTATCCTATCAAAGTAGCGATTGTTAATTTGTTAGTCAAGTTATTTCCATTGACTATGTTGGAGACTGCTGCCTTGTTGTTGTTAATTTTTAGCTTCTCACTTTGAATTACTCTGTTTTCTTCATATGTACACAGTACACACTATTCATATTAGATGAATGCTTTTGGAGTTATATTGGAATCACCGTGTTTATGGTGTCACCATTGCTATTCTTGTTTTGATCATTAGTGGCTTTGTGTGTTCAGGTTAATGTGAGAGGAGGAATAACTGGTGAAGCAGATTCAAGTGCATATTTTTGCCTTGAGGATCTTTGGGAATCCTTCAGTGAGTGGAGTGCATATGGAGTGGGCGTGCCCCTATTATTGAATGGAAAAGACCAAGTTGTACAGTATTATGTTCCCTTTTTGTCTGGGATACAGTTGTATGTAGATGATCCGATGACGTCTTCTTGCATTAGGTAAACTTCTGTGTAGTGTGATGCTTCGCAGTTATTTGATCCTCATATCATTTTTCTTAGAGCTTCATCAGTATGTTTTTGTTGCTAACCAATATTTTTACTTTTTAACACTTTATAAGTTGTTCGCTAATGCTAATTGTGGCATGTTAACATATTCTGAGCTGTAGTCCTGTTTCATGATTCTAAGTTAACATGACCCCCGTCCCGAAAAAAGAGTCACGTGTTACCAAGGTACAGTTATTTAAATTTAATAAGGTTCAACTCTTGGAAATCATCAATTCTAGTTATACAGTTTTCAATTATAACTGTATAACTGTATAACTTAAGCATGTGAAAGAATAGAATCATTGTGGTTTTCATGTTACCATTCAATTATCACTAATACTTCATTTGGGAAGTTATATTACCTACATGCATGTGAAAGAATAGAATCATTGTTGCAAACCACCGCTACAGTTTCACATAATAACAAAAAAATGTGGCATATTATCTCATGAGTTTTTGAAGCTGAGAGGTAATATCTAGGTATGGAATATTAAAAGTTGCATGACTTTAGCTCGTCATGCTTTAATGCTAGGTTACGTATGTCATCACTTATGTTTTCTAAGAAAAAGATCCATAGTGGAAAGTCAATTATTAAAAGCTTTGCTACTTAAATTCTTTGTGGTAGACCTTATTGCCAGACTTTTGAGAGTGTCTAAAAGGAGTTCCAGTGGAATACAGGATTGGTTTTCAATTGAGGAAATACTTTTCTTGTTCAAGTGCAAATCAGGAAGCTTTTTAACTTGTTAATTTTTTTATTTTCGACCTGAGATTCATTATGAGATAACCTGGGTCAGGTGTCTGAAACCATATCTTTAGATTTTTACTTGTTTTAGAATATACTGTTTTTTGCTGGGGTGCTATCAAATATATTTGCATTGCTTGTGAAAATTTTACTGGTGCTTCTTTAGGAGGGATAGTGAAGAAAAGGATTTTGAAACTAGAGAGATGAGCAATGGTGTCAGCAGTAACTGTGAAGTAGATAAGAAAGATGCTGCTGATGAGTTACCAAACGGAAACATCTCTAAAAAAGAAACAAGTATGAGCTTTTCTGGTGTAGAAGCTGGAAATGGCAAGTCTAATGGTCAACTCTTGTTTGAGTATATGGAACGTGAACAACCACACCACCGTAGACCATTGGCTGACAAGGTAAGTGCACTCAGAATCTATTTGGATAGAGGGTTTTGCAAGATTTAATTATTTAATATATATCTGAACACAAATACACATACACCCCTGTATGTGTGTATTTATAAACAGACACGCACATATATCCTAGAATGCAAGCTATCATGTAAAGTTTATAACTACATTTATATATTTATATCCTTATAAATTTATACTCAAAGTTCTTATATATCATAATAAGAATAATAATTACGTAGTAATAACTTAAATGACATAATATCGTGACTATATAATACAAGACTTATTTTTGGCGGTGAAATAGAAGACTTGAACAACCAAATAAAAACGAGAGAAAGAAGAGTTGCAATGAAAATTACTTTTGAAGAAGCAATAGAACTAGTTGGCATTTAACACTAAAACATTAATTTAGAGTTCTGACTTCTTATACAGGCACTTGGTAAGTTTTTATTTCCTTATTAGTTTTTAATTTTCCTCTTATGCCGCTTTTTATGTAAGTTTATAATTTTTCCTTTTTTATAAACTTCCCGTGATGCTGCTGCTTCGTGCCTAACTTTTTTTCCTTCGGTACTCTTCGAAAATCTAGTAGCTCACCTGACATGAGATCCTCTCTCGCGCAGATCTACCCAAAACGCTGATACGACGTTTCTATGCTCTAGCTCATCAATCCCACAATCAAACCATAGTTTTCCATTGTAAAAGCACTATCTGGATTGCCGTAAAACACCCTACTCGTAAGATTGGACGATCTTATGAGTAGAGTAGCAATCTTAACAACAATGATATATATGAACATATGTATGGTATGATATAAACATTGAAAGATTAATGCATCATAAAGGTGAGAACATATCTTTGAGCTTTTGATTGGACAAAAATAGGACTGCGATAAAATTTTCAAAAAGGTGATCAAATAGGACTAAAGTATCTCTCTCTTGCACACCAACCTCCCAATTTCACTCCATCTTACTGCCGCTTGTTGCTAGAGTTTTTATAGAAAAGTCACTAGAAAAAGTCAGCGCTAGTGACAGTGACAGTGACATGTTGGGTGCTGTTACTGGCGATGCGAGGTTGGTGATGGGCAGTGTTACTGTCACTTGCTGTGGCATATTAATAGCGGCATATTTAATGTGTTTTTGGAATAATCTAAGAGTAGTAACATTTTTTCCCGATTATTATTTTTTAGTAAATTGCAGGAAGAACTCCTAAGTCCATATATAATGCCAAGTATATGACATTATACATTTTAACCACGTTTATGTATTTTCAAAAACAACCTTTATGTATTTATCAAGAATCAAGATAGAAACTTATCACTCGAAAGCCTTCCCTCCAATTCCCTTCAGAACCCTCCATCGAAACAAACACTTAATAGTTTTTTGACTGACTGAATGAATGTGTCTATCTATTCACTTGTGAGTCCTAAGATGGGTAATTCTCACTTCTCATGCATGTAACAGGTTGCAATTCTGGCATCTCAATTTCCAGAGTTGAAGAAATGCCGGAGTTGTGATTTGATGCCATCGAGTTGGATTTCTGTTGCTTGGTATGGTTCTGCTTAATGCATGGAGTATATGTATATTTGTCTGTGAACTATTTGAGATTTAGTTTTACGAAAAAAGTTTGTTGCAGGTATCCAATATATAGAATACCCATAGGCCAAACGCTCCGGGATTTGGATGCATCGTTTTTAACTTTTCATGCCCTGTCCACACGATCTCAAGGTGCCTCCCTCTTCTCTATAATTGTATGTGCATTGGAACTTTTTCCGCACGCGTTCTGTAGATTTTACTTTCCGCTTCTCCTAAGGCTACGTTTGGAACTCAAGAAATGGAAGGCTGTGATAAGAAAAAAAGCTAAAGAAAATGTTTGTCTTCGATTTTACATTCAGAAACACGAGAAAATCAGTTTTTGTTAGTTTTGACATACATTTAGATTTCTTATCTTTTTATATTACACTCGTTGTAATGATTACATAAAATGAGTTTAATTCTAATTTTGATTTATGGAGTTAAAGCAATACGGAGTATTTTGTTTCCCCATCCCTTCTTTACATTAAATTATCATTTACATTATCCTTCTCTTTCATTTACAGAGTTCCATCATACTCTAAGGGAATGTTTGGATCCTGGGAAATGCTTGAGAAAGGGGAATGAAATTTGATTTGTACTTGCATATTATTTCATTTTATTAGTCTGCAAAATAAACACATTATGTAATAAAATTATTATCAACAGGATCTGAACTAAATTCATTGGGCCTTAGCCTAAATTTTATTTTCTTTCCTCCACATTTTCTTATATTTCTAGTTTTCGTCTATGATTTCTTTCATATTTATTTACCTAGCGTTATCTGAGTTTCAAAGCGACCCTGAACACTGCCTTTTTTCTCTTCATAATGGCACTTGGCCCTAGGTCGTGTTACACCTCAACTTCATAGCTCAAGAGATAGGAAAACTAATGGAAGGAAAGCTGCTTCATCAAAATTTTCTCTACCAGCTTTTGGCCTTGCCTCATACAAACTGAGTGGATCTCTTCTTAGTCCAAGTGGACCCCATGAATCCGAGCAAGGAAACAATCTCTTGCAGGCTGCTGTGAGTTGGCTTCGGGATTTGCAGGTGTATCTTCCTGATTACCAATTTTTCATCTCACATAATTCTCAATGGAGATGACAACATCACTGGAAACTTGAGAGTAAATGTTTAGACACAGTTTTTATGTGTCACTGTGTCCTTTTAATAGTTGCGTTTAAAAAGTAGGAGAATGTGTCCCCAAATGCGGCCATTAGTTCTTGGGAAATCACCCTGATAGTGTCGAAAATTTTGGAACATTTTGTACCTTACATACTGCACATAAAAATTTATACTTGTATCAAGTGCGTCTCAGTATAAGATTATTTAAAACCTTGAACAGACCCCATGTTGTAAACTTTCCTTCTTTAATTTAGTATTGTTATAGTTCCAAAAAGATTAGTGCAAGTATGAGTTGTGATACTTGTGAAAATTGAGATGTACTTAGTTAATTACTTAATTCAGTTTCCTTTATACAGTTGATTTTTGTTTTTCTTTTTAAAATTTCAAAATAAATTGTGTGGAAATTTTGCCTTACGAGTCCCTCAAAGAGTCAAAAGCCTTGAACAACCTTTTGTTTAACAATAATACCAGATGAGAACATGATTCTGGACCCATGATATTTATGGATGCACCTGTTTTGAAAAAGTTAGAACCTCATGAAAATCATGTCTAGCTGGCTGATCCTGGTTATGGTTCTTAGAACTTGTGATTCTGTCTCTACTTTTTAAGAAATTCCAGTTACAATCTCCAGAAAACCAATTCCTATCCAGAGACCACCTCTTCTGGTCCCTAGACCATAAGTTTTAGTACTCCATCTATTAGAATTATGAAACCAAACATTGGATATCCCAACCAGAAGTCAGGTCTTGGCCCTTGGGATGTGGGATATGCGCACTCTACCTCTACTCCAGACACGAGAAGTTATTTTGGCCCTAAACATAGGCATGTAATGAAAGGTATTATAGAATCCTAGCAAGTACATCACACAAAATAAACCAATAAGCAAACAACCATACATGGATGGATGAACTGGTTCAGTTATAGAACCGCCGATTTTGGTTCCGGGTTTAGCCCAAATATGTACTCACACCAAATAACTTGATTAGGGTGGACTCAATCCGACAACTGAACTTAACCAGAACCAGTCCAATCAAAACTGAATCGGAATCATTACCCAGTCTAGACTCTAGATCCACCCGTTTTGCTTTATTTTATTTTATACCGTATTTTTAATAGACTAAAAATGAGTCTACAACTGGGACCACAACTAGAATCGGAACCAGACTGGTACCCAAATTTAGCTGTCCCATTTACAGGTTTAGGGTGCAAGGTCCAAGAACCAGCCAATATGGAAACGGAACCACACTGCAACCTGTGTCCACCAGTAGCACTGGTCTTTTTTTGCATCATTTTGAGAAGTATAAAGGCCTAATATATCACAAATAATAATACATTCACAATTCAAACTTCAAAAATCGAACTTTAGTAACAAATAAAAAAAATCTAGATATATGACGCCTAAAGAAGCTGTAGAAATTGCACCTGAATTTGCAGCAACTAAGATTATTACTAATTAAAAACTAAGAAAGATAGTGTATTTTTGTTTGAACTCCTAATAGTGACTTACAATACATGGAGTACATCTCTTACCCATAGTCACCAATTACATGATCATTGTGGTTCTTATCAGACACTTAACTTATGCTAGAGCCAACCAAAGAAAAAAAACAGAGCAGGGGCTGCACTGAAGGACTTGGGGGGATTGCTATACTTCTCAAGCTGATCAACTTTTAGTCAATCAGATTATAATATATTTGCACCGTGTTGGTTTGTTGCTAATGTATTAGCACACTTCATTTAATCAAGAATCCTCCAAGCTTAGCATATGCAAAGGACTGATTGCTTCCGGTCATAAGAGTGTCCTTTTTCTATCATAAAAAGTCATCCAGCATGGTAGATAACAATATCTCATGCACAAATTCACATCTTTGGAGCTTCTCCTCTTGGTTCTTGTCCATTCTACTAGCAGCTTGGCCACCTCTGCAATGAATCAAACTGAACAGATTAGTGAGTGATACAAACACAGCTTGCGAATAGGGCAGCAGTCATCTACTGGAGAATGAAGTACTCCATACGAGTAGATGTTAGGGTAATTGAAGATTAAAAAAAAGGTGGCAACAAAAAATTGTTGAGCTAGTCGGCTAGGTCTCAGACAACAAGGATTACTTAGTAACAGTCGTTCTGAATTATTCTGAATTACAACAGCCTTTCTAAATTAAGAGTAATTTGTAAAAATAATTTTCGAGAAAAATAATTTGTTCTAAATTAGTGTTTACCACAAAAACACGGGGAATAATCTGTCTCAGGAAAATTGCTACCATTTTTTAAAAGAGAGTTTATTTTGCAGACATCCAATTATCCAAAGAACCAGGGAAAATGTGTTTCCGAACACAAGAAAAACCAAAAAAAAAAACTTGGAAACTTGCAGAGCCTTAATCTCTATCAGTCTTCTAAAATGTAGCTTATGTAATGTACATCTAAGGATAATAAAATTAATACTCCGGTATATATTAACATCAGATATATTAACATTCAGTACCTTTTTGAGTCTATCCTTCCCTAAAGTTAGTCAAAGAACCAATTCCCTTTTAATTTCTAGGTGGAGCATACACATAACATAGGAAAGTCAGTCTTTAACCATTTAACTTTAGGTGATCATGATCACTAGACATGGCAACAAGAGCAGCAGTGTAGTTTTGAAACAAAGTCAGTTTTGTTACCTCTCACAAATTAAATTTTCCTCACTTGTTTCAAGTGAGCTTGTTTCATCTGTCTTTTTAACTGGTGTGGTTTCAACCCTGCCAGATGATTTTTGGTTGTTGACAAATGATAGCATCATACTATCACCAGCAGCAGCACCATTTGAGGATGAATCAGAGCGACTGAACTCCTTGAGATGATGATGCAAACTTAAATTCTGCAACTCTTTCCTCAGCGATGATATACCTGAATGCACTCTGTTGTTCTGAAGCTTCTTTTTAGCAAGAGCGTTAGAATTTGTCAAGTCCACCAAATTATAGTCCATCATTATATCAATCCAAAATAAAACATCGGTATGGTAGACATTAATGTATAGTAATCCGGGGGGTGGGGCTATACTATGATACAGTGGTATAGACTCTAGAATTATAACTTTAGTCTAAACTATAAAGAGAGTCTCAACAAAACTGCTGTTTACAAATTGAGGCATAGAGTCAGCAAGATAGTTTACGAGTATTAATAGAATGTAAATTAAATAATACTAATACTTAGAGGGGGAAAAGGGTGAGGCAACTTATCAAATGGCATCACTTACAGAATAGGACCTATTTCCAGTTCTCTTTTTCACATTTCTTTTTCTACCGATGGAAATGTTTTAGTACTTGTCATTCTCAGAAAATCTTAGCCCCCGAATATGTTAAGCATAAACACATAGTCATATAGAGTATATACAAATTAACACATTAAATGATGAGACCTAAATCTCTAGGCCTAATAACTGAAGGGCACAAACCAAGCATATCAGGGGTCTGTATGATGGTTTAAAGAAACAAAAAAAGGACATTAGTGAATCACATATGAATCACTAATAAACTCTAATATGACAAACAAACATTTGAAAACAAGTGTAAAATGGACAAAAGGATATCCTCAAGATATTTTCATGTTGTGAAATCACATGTGCAGCCATGCTCATCCCCTCATTTGAAGCACAGAATGGACATATCTGAAAACAAAAGTAACTCCATTCATAATACAGTTATAAATGCTAGATATTACGGAGTAAAATGCAGAGTAATCGATAGTTCATCAGCATTTGTTCGTAATTAGCATGGAAAAGGGGGAATTTGATTGTAAAGAGACAGAGCATCGACCCGCCAATCGGTAATTTTTCATTCTAAGAATCGAACAATGTACCTTACAAAACAAACTCATATCAGCAAGGATATGTTCAGCTCATATGTTTCAAAACATATATAGAGTTATAAATGGAGGTTAGTAAACTATGAAGTCGTACCACAAACAATATGGAGCTCAAAATAATACTTTAACTATGAGGTCAATCCTACCATTAACAATCCAAAAGGAAACCATATATCTATACATGATAAGATCTCAAACTAGACTCTGTAATTGATATTACGGCACAAAAAAGCCTGAAAAAGGGCACTGAGCGAGAGGGAAAATCTGTATAGCTGACCAGTCAATTGGTACCAAGTCAATAAGTGCCTCTGACTCTCTGAGGGGTTTAGATGGTGGGTTCAAAAGAAAAATAATCACTTTAATCCATTCCTTCTTCTATAGGCTCCACACATATATCAGTTCATTCAGCTTAGATGGCAATTGGTACCTATATTGCCATCATGCTTCTATCAGTTCATTCAGTTGCCTAAATTAGCTTCTAAAAAACAAGGCTCCACACAACCTGTCCTCTAGGCATACAATTTATTACTCCCCTGGACTTTTTAAGGAACAGGAACGCCTTAGTCATCACAGCTGCACATGTTCAGACAATTCTTATGGGTTTCACCTAATAAGTTTGTGGTTTGTGCCCACAAAATTTCATCTTTCCTCACTTTTTCTTTCTTTCCAGCTTTAGAAAGTACAACCAAGCTTTTATGTAGCTAAATTCCCAACCTTTAAAGGAATACCCTGATCCCTATTGTGCATAGATAAAAAAAACTGACTAACTCAGCCTAAATACAAGAAATGTGCCAAACATTGCATCATTCGGAAACGTCATAACTTTACAGAGGAGGTTGAAAGTAAGATATTTACCCCGGATTTAATCTCCACACGATGCTCACTATCAATATGACAGCACAATCCCAGAACATCATAGTCATCCGAACAAAACGGGCATGCCAATTCCGCCTTTCCATAGTCATCATCGATCCTCCTGTACTCATCGTCTTCGTCATAATCATCTTCCTCCTCCCCATCCTCCTCGGTGTCGTCAAGGTCAATGCAGTTAGCAGCTATTCAACACCAAAATCATTTAACAATCATTACGCAAACAACCCAAAATCACAGTCCAGATGCACTCAAGAACACTTACCAGGAGGTGGCTGGCGAATAGCGCGCTTGAGAGCAGCAAACAGATAGTCGACGTCAGTTTGCCGATCAGCCATCGTTGGTCGCTCTCCGTCGGAATAAAATTAGGTGATTGGAGGGAATAGCCGCCTCTTCTCAGATTTTGGGTCTCTCTGAAGAAGCGATGGTGATGTTGGGTGGAGGGAGGTATACCGTAGTGCGGGTGAGGTCTACCTAATGGAATGGACCTCGGGTCAAACTCCCATCTTCGCGTTCTGTTAGCGTATATAAACCGGAAATGAGGGAAGAAGAGAAAAGATGAAAAAGAAAAGGGATCACTTTAAGACTTTTCGGGCCGCCATATAGCCACGAATGCATTTACCTAGAAAGAGGCATGGATACATGTGGACTCCCACCTCCATCTTCTTCCCCGATCCGTTTTCAATTTCTCTGCAATAGCAATGAACTGTAACTCTAGCTTTCAATACTGGCCTACTTGGCCCATATGTTTTGGGCCTTCGTAGTTCGACTAAACATAGGCGGCTAGGCAAGGATGCATCATTTTATTTAAGGAGTATTTGATTAAAAAAAGCACTTTTCAGCTTTTGGCTTAAAAAAAGTTAAAAAGAGTGTTTTCAAATGACAACTTCTGCTTAAATTAATCACTTAAAAGCTAAAAGCTGGAAGCAGGTGGAAGGGTGCTTTAAACTGCTTTTCACTTTTTCTATTACACAAAAAGTACTTATTTTACCAAACACTACCAACTTTTACTTTTTCAGAATCCCTTTTTTTCTCAAACACTACCAACTTTTACTATTAATCACTTTTCCCCAAATCACTTTAAAAAATCACTTTTTTAAAGTTGAAGCAATTGCAAACACTCCCTTAATTTCGTCCATTCAATAAGCTATACTTTTATGATTAATCTCCTTTAATCGTTCTCATTTCTATTTTAGTAAATAATTGACAAATTTAAAATAACAACTTTGATAATCAAATAATAAAAATAAGAGAAAAGTACGAGAACATTACATGTGGTTGAGCCGCTTTATGATATATAACGCGTTTCATTTTTAACAAAATAGGAATAATTCAGATTTTCAAAACTTTTCAATTTCGGTAGGGGTCCGACGCTTGATGCCGTTACGAATTATCGGAGTAAGATGATGAGCAATAATTCAAAATTTCAAAAGTGCCTAAATAATTAAAAGAAAAAATAATGGAAGTTGCACATCATCAAGGCGACCACGAGGCGATGTTTCTTTTTTGTTTCTAGCTACACTTGTAGCTGGAAATCCACCGTAAAAAGTGATATTATTAGTGAATTCGTTTTTCAAAGATAATCCAAATAAATATAAAAAATTCAAAAATGAAGATGATTTGGAGGCCTTTTTAATGAGGAAAACCCCATTTTAACGAACAATTTCAAATCGCCCAACAAAATTAGGAGCTAGTTTGTGATTGCTTTCGTTGACCACTGACTATTGTATATAAGGTTGCAATTTCGCATATAGTGAGTCTTAATCAAGAAAGTTTCAGCTTATCAAAATGTACAATTGAGATCTCTACTTGTGGACCTTCAACTTTATATATTTGATGTGATTCTAAAAACGCATCAATTAACATGTATTTTTTACGGAAATTGTCCTAAATAGGACTAAAAAGTTCCTAAAAAGCACAAATAGGACTACTATTTTTAAAATTCCCTAAATAGAACTAAACATTGATTTTCTACCCTAAATACCCCTAAGAGTATTAATTCATAATGAAATGCTTTAATTCATAATAAAATCACAAAAAACGTAAAAAAATATTTAAAAAACGTAAAAAAATTAAAAAAAAATTATAAAACATTTATAAAATAAAAAATTTAATTTTTTATTTTTTTAATTTTTTTAAAAAAATAATAAAAAATAGTAAAAACCCATAAAAAATGAAAAAAATTATGGATACCTTTCTCACCGCCTCCCGCCGCCTCCCAGCACCACCACCTCCGATTGGTGAAATTTCTTCCACTTTTGGTAAAAAAAATGCCATATTTTTCTGAAAATGCCAAAAAGATGGCATAATTACTCTTCAATATGCCAACATTTTCATTGATTATGCCATCATTATGGCATTATTTAAAATGTTGGCATATTTTTGTCCGGTGATGGGAGATGGTGGTGTTGGGGGTGGCAGGGGTGGTAATGTGTTTTTTTTTTTTTATGATTTTTTTTATTTTTTATTTTTATTTTTTTTAAAAAAAATATTTTTTTTATTTTTTTAAAAAAATATTTTTATTAATTTTCTATTATTTGTTTTTACGATTTTTAGTATTTTTTTCGATTTTTATTAATTTTTTTATGATTTTATTATTAATTAAAACATTTCACAAGTTACAAGGGTATATTTGTCCAAACACACATAAATAGTCCTATTAAGGGAATTTAAAAAATGTAGTCCTATTTGTGCAATTTTTCCACTTTTTAGTCCTATTTAGGGAATTGACTCTATTTTTTAAATATTTAATGCGGTCAAGCGGGAACCTTAACAAAAAGATACACTTTTGAGACTTTTTGTTGTGGTTATGTAAGAACCACGAAAAATGGGTGTTCGGTATGAATTTTTATATTACGGTCATGTCAGAACCAAATCAAATAAGTATTTTTTGTAGTTTTATTGAAAACGCACCTTTTGTAGTTATTATAGGATTTATAGCTACAATCACAGTGAAAAGTGTAGTTTTTTCAAATAAAATACACAATTGCATAGATCTCAAAAGATATGTGTTTTTTTTAAAAAAAGTTATTGCCTCATATGAAACTAAAATAAGGATGAAATGCAAAAATAGGATTTATTATGGTTTGTTCCCTTAATAGGATCAATTTACTCTTATTATTAAAGATACAAAAATTAGCTTCCCAAGTTTGCCGCTACACCCATTTATGCACTCTATCTCCCCTTCTCCTTTCATATATCAGTTGATTCCTTCTACAGACCCCAAAGCAAAGATAGTTTGGCATCTCATCTTCTCCCTGTAGATCTGCCGCGCCGCCTACTCCACCGCACGGTGCTTCCACCACCTATGGCTTCGTCACCTTCGCCGCCTTCGCTATTCACCATCATCGTCTTTATTTTGCTCCGAATTTCAAGTTTCTTCTCCCCCCCCTCCTCCTCCTTCTCCTTCTCTTTCTCCTTTTCCTTCTTTTCCGATTTTCCTCTGATTTTCTAGATTTGGAATTGATTTTGTCAATTTTTCAGACTTCCATTTTGATTTTCTGGTTTCTGATTTCTCAGTTTTAACAAAAATCTGGTTTTCAAAAACTTTGGATGATAGCTTCAGATTTGGCCAAGTTTATGGCAAAAATGTGTACATTGATAATCATATTATGGCAGAAATGCTTTTGTATAAATTGGTTTTTTCTGTTTTTTGTCAATGGCTTCGTTTTTGTAATTTCCGGTTGTTAAAATGCTTATTCCGTAAAAAGGTAGTTGTTTAAATATTTGGTTGTTTATTTCATGTTTTTTTTTATTTTTTCCAAATTTATGAAGTTTTGTGTTAACATTCCAAGAAAAATCTGCCAACTCTTTGGCAGATCTGGAACCCTTGTTCATGGCAGATGTGAATCTACTCCCCAACCCTAAATCTGCCAACTTAATGGCAGATTTATTCCGCCTGAGTTGTCACAGTGGTGGCAGCGTTCAGAGTATGGTGGCGGCGGTGAATGGTGACGTCGGTCATATGGTGATGGATGGTGACACCGGTGTTGGAAGCGACGGCGAGGGCGGTTGCAGGCAGCGATGGTGATGGCGGCACGCAACGCCGGTGATGGGGGTGATAGCAGGCGCGGCCGGTGATAAAACCGGCAGGTGGCGTGGGTGGTTGAATTGCTACGGTTAAAATTTTAGGGTTTTGTGTTATTTTAATTTTACATTTTTTAATAATAAATTCAAATAAAAATTGATTAGGGGAATTTGTGTACAAGCATGTGGTTTTATATCCTACGAAAGATGGATATGAATTATGGTCCTATTTGTGCACATAAGTTCGATGGCCTATCTGACCCTTTTTCCATTACTTTTTAAGTATCAAGTTGTTAAAAAATTGTATCCATCAAATACTCAAGTACATAGTTATAAATTTATAATATACGTTAAGAGTACTATGAATTTAGTCTTTAAATAAAAATATTATATCTAAATATCCAATAGAATTAGACAAACAATACATTGTAATATTATACATGCTATTGGCTATAAAAATTACAAAACATAATAGTAAAAATCATTTTATTCATAATATAACCATTTTTAGAGAATATATACCATATGTAACATATATGCACTAAGAATTTAATCTTCAATGATTTACCAATTCGGAAGTTAGTGCATATAGACTTTTTCTATGCTATGTGGTGCGTTTGAGGTCAAAAGTTTGAACCCCTTAGGGGGTGGGTTAAAAGAGAGGAAGGTGAACGGATTAATTTTTGGGAAACTGACCCCATAAGAAAGAGGATTTCCCATTATATGACTTAAAAACTTAATTGATCAAAACATAATCCAAAATTACCAACGGTGAGTACCATAACTGAGAAACAAGCAAGAGAAAGTTTTCACATAAAGCATATGGAACGTGATTCTCCCACCAAATTATTAGGAAAAAACATGAGTAGGTCATAACTTGGGAAATAGATACTCTTTTAGTCATATAAAAAATAATTTTCTTTTAATTTTTCATAAAAAAACTCTTTGTTGTAGTTGTTGTATAACCACTTAAAAAGTTTTAAACAAAGGTATTTTTAATGTGATTATCGGCAACTACTGCAAATAGTATTCACTATTGGTGTCGTCCTATTTGCTACGATTCAAAACCGAATAACCCAAATGACCGCAGCATATAAAGTTTTTTCTAATATGGTTTGCAAACTCTTATCCACATACTCTATTAGGCTATCTCCAAATACATAGAGTATATGTAAGCTGGGTGATTGGCCATAAACAACTTCATAAGGAGTTTTGCTAATTGTTGAATGATAAATTTAATTTATGATGTACAACAAGTCTACTGCAGGAATTCAATCACGATCATGCGCACCTTGTACTGGCGCGCCCAGGTTCTCCAACGTGTACACACGGTGCCGCGCACGACATACAGACTCGATGTAACCCCATCTTCCTTTCCTCGTGCACACTTCATGAGCAGGGTGCATGCGAATGCAATATCATTTAATACCATTTAAATTTAGTCGTTATATCTTCACTGGCATTGTGGATAATGAACCACTATATCCGTCACAACTTGAATTACTATATATGATGGTCCAATCAAATTACATGATTGAAATATAGAAAGGTTGTAATGTTGATATCCAGCTCAGGTCTCCACAAATTATACCCACTAAGGATTCTAATTCACCACAAGAGTCACAAAGGGGAGGAGTGGGCAACAACCAAATAGCTATTTCCGGCCAGTTCGTCCGAAATTTGTGGAGACCTGAGCTAGATATCAACATTATAGAGGTGTCATCCTAAAATCTCATTAGTAAACATTTGCTTTCATTCCTTGCATTGATCTAGATCCTTTCATATTCTGATCATGACGTGTTCACAATATAATATTTATATCTTATTACGTTGCCTTTCATATAAATCTAGAATGATGTAATTTGAAGTTTCTTCTGACCAGATAAACTCAAGTGATGCACAAAACATCATTCTGAATCATGGTTGTGAGGTTTAGTGATTCAAATAAGGGAAAGTTCCCGAAATAGGACTAAAACAGTTTGAAAATTCCAAAATAGGACTGTAATGTTTTTTATTCCCAAAATAGGAGTAATTACTGTCAAGTTTAGAAAATACTGTCATGTTTGAACTTTGGTACTGCCAAAACATGACAGTAATTAGTCCTATTTTGGC